CGTAGTAGTAGTAGTAGTAGTAGTAGTAGTAGTAGTAGTAGTAGTAGTAGTTGTTGTTGTTGTTGTTGTTGTTGTAGGAGTAGTTGTAGTACAGAGGAGGAGGTGGAAGAGGACCAGGAGGAGAAGGAGGGAGGAGGAGGAGAGGGAGGAGGAGGAGGAAGAGGGGGAGAAAGGAGGGTAGAAAAAAGAAGAGAAAGAGTACAAAGAGGACAAGAAGGAAGGCACGGAATAAGAAGAAAACGAAGAGGAGAGAGGGGGGGTGGGAGGGGAGGAAGAGGAGGAGGAGGGAGTCAACTAAAAAAAACCCACACACATACCATTTTATGACTCCTCGCTCCGAAGTCAATAATTAATTATTTATTTGCACCGTGTACCGTTTCAACATTCGTTGAAAAGGAAAGAAATTCTCACAAAAATAATAATGAGAAATCACTTTATTAGTTAAAATTCTTTTCTTAGATAAGTATTGTCTAGCCTTAAATTATATGAACAGCATTTTATTACTACTTGGGAGTTGTATAGGTTTGGGTAAAGGAGTGAAAGGTGGAAAGGGAGGGATATATTCAGGAAAAGTCAATGGGAATAATAAACAAGCATTGGGACTTGATTTTCATATTTAATTTCTGTTTTCCCCAATACCCGTCTCTCACCCACACATATATCGTGCTCTCTGCTCATAATTGTTTAACCTTCCGGTGTGTCCTAAAAGTGGCGTCCTTTCGGCCTCTAGTATATCTAGTGGATGGCAACGTCTTCATTAAAAAACTAATAAGTATAGGCCTAAAAATAAAAGAACGCTTATACAAGACTGGCACTGACATTGAATTTTCAGAATCTCGATCACTCATACAGTCGATAGATCTAGAACGAATGGTATCCATTAGCTGATTACGCGCCTTTATTCTAACGATGTCGAGAGCAGAGTATTAAACCTTTGGTTTTGCCTGAGTAGGGATTGCGGATAGGATTGGTTTTAGATCGATATCAATTAATGGGCCAGGATTGTGTCCTTGGCCTTGTAAAAAACCCCGAGCCCTTTGTTCTGAAAGTGCAGTAAGCTTATTTGAATTTGCAATTACATTTGTAGTATGATTTCACAACGTAGCAGGCAAGTGATAATAGGTCAATAATCATGTTAAGTTCTGTAAATAATAAATAATAGGAGGGAACGGAACTCTCTTTTCTCTAACCTTTCCTATGTTGTGATCTCTCTCTCTCT